TTTTAACATGTTCGATCGTAAGATCACGAATTTGTGACTCAAGTAGTTTTTCAAACTGTTATATTTTGTGTATTTTAACTGTTCGATCGTAAAATCATCGATTGTGTGACTTTACGTAAGGTTTCTTCAAACTTATTTTGTGTTTTTAACATGTTCGATCGCAAAACCATCGAAATTGTGACTTCAAGTAAGTTTTTCAAAACTGTCATATTTTGTGTATTTTAACATGTTCGATCGTAAAATCATCGAATTTGTGACTTCAAGTAAGTTTTTCAAAACTGTTATATTTTGTGCATTTTAACATGTTCGATCGTAAAATCATCGAATTTGTGATTTCAAGTAAGTTCTCAAAACTGTTATATTTTGTGTATTTTAACATGTTCGATCGTAAAATCATCGAATTTGTGACTTCAAGTAAGTTTCTCAAAACTGTTATATTTTGTGTATTTAAACATGTTCGATCGTAAAATCATCGAATTTGTGACCTCAAGTTAGTTTTTCAAAACTGTTATATTTTGTATATTTTAACATGTTCGATCGTAAAATCATCGAATTTGTGACTTCAATTAAGTTTCTCAAAACTGTTATATTTTGTGTATTTTAACATGTTCGATCGTAAAATCATCGAATTTGTGACTTCAAGTAAGTTTCTCAAAACTGTTATATTCTGTGTATTTTAACATGTTTGATCGTAAAATCATCGAATTTGTGACTTAGAGTAAGTTTCTCAAAACTGTTCTATTTTGTGTATTTTAACATGTTCGATCGTAAAATCATCGAATTTGTGACTTCAAGTAAGTTTCTCCAAACTGTTATATTTTGTGTTTTTTAACATGTTTGATCGTAAAATCATCGAATTTGTGACTTCAAGTAAGTTTTAAAACTGTTATATTTTGTGTATATTAACATGTTCGATCGTAAAATCATCGAATTTGTGACTTTAAGTAAGTTTCAAAACTGTTATATTTTGTGTATTTTAACATGTTTGATCGTAAAATCATCGAATTTGTGACTTAGAGTAAGTTTCTCAAAACTGTTCTATTTTGCATATTTTAACATGTACGATCGTAAAACCATCGAATTTGTCACTTCAAGTAGTTTCTCAAAACTGTTATATTTTGCATATTTTAACATGTACGATCGTAAAACCATCGAATTTGTCACTTCAAGTAAGTTTTCCAAAATTGTTATATTTTGTGTATTTTAACATGTTCGATCGTAAAATCATCGAATTTGTGACCTCAAGTTAGTTTTTCAAAACTGTTATATTTTGTGTATTTTAACATGTTCGATCGTAAAATCATCGAATTTGTCACTTCAAGTAAGTTTCTCAAAACTGTTATATTTTGTGTATTTTAACATGTTCGATCGTAAAATCATCGAATTTGTGACTTCAAGTAAGTTTCTCAAAACTGTTATATTTTGCATATTTTAACATGTACGATCGTAAAACCATCGAATTTGTCACTTCAAGTAAGTTTTCCAAAATTGTTATATTTTGTGTATTTTAACATGTTCGATCGTAAAATCATCGAATTTGTGACCTCAAGTTAGTTTTTCAAAACTGTTATATTTTGTGTATTTTAACATGTTCGATCGTAAAATCATCGAATTTGTGACTCCAAGTAAGTTTCTCAAAACTGTTAATATTTTGTGTATTTTAACATGTTCGATCG